GGGGGGGGGGGGGGGGGGGGGGGGGGGGGGGGGGGGGGGGGGTCCGCCGAATCCGTACACCCTGCGCTCTCGGGAAATCGCGGAGAATCGAGGCCATCACCAACGCCTCCGCCGTCCCCGTGCTGTTGCACGCGGCTGGGACAGTACACGACCACAACACCCCACCAAGCGAAGATCAACGAACGCCCTTGGGCCGTTCCAGGGGGAAACAGTTAGTCGGTGACAGATGTCGATGACAAGAAAGCATGGTGGATCGGCTGGCTGCTCGCAAACCGACAACAACGGAGCGCCAAATGATGAAAGACATGGTAGATGTTGGTTGTCGCCGCCACCCACACCGTGACAAGTCGTCCGTCCAACTTTTTTTTCTGCTGTGTTTTGAAGCGCTTCGCCATTCTGGGGGGTGCGCTTGTTTTGGCGAAGCTTCTTGGCAAGGGCCCCTAAATGCATGTGTGGTATAAACGTGTCGACAAAGCGGTGCTGAGTGTGTTGGGGCTGTTTTGTTTGTCCGTGGGAAACGAGAAAGGGACCGCAGCGGAAATGATCCGTGCGGGACGAAATAAAGTGGATCGCGAGGCTGCGTATTGGTGCGTGTATGCTCCTTTGTGTGTATTAATTTCTGTTAATCGTTTGTCTTGGACCGACTGGCGGTCTCGCTCTCTTCTAGAGTTATGTTCTCCTCTTCTCGCCTTTCTGCGGAACGGACGGATGAATATAGGTAGAGGTCCCTTTGGTGTTTGCTGCTGCCAAGCGTGCTCCCTTCTTGGGCGCGGTCACTCTCAAAAGCGCTCAAGACAGCGGTCAGTGTCTGCCGCGACTCGTTCTATTCTCTTTGTTCGTTTGTCGCTCTTCGGAGTGTGTATTGGTTGATGCGTGCGGAGTATGTGCGCGTCTTTGTTTTTTCTAGCATCGACCGCGTTGTTTGTGTGTAGCAGATGATATTATATCATGTGATTGTTTTGCACCGACCGACCGCTCTGATCGGCTCGCTGCCCACAATCAAGAGACGCCAGTTACGTGCGGCTAAAAACGGAAGACGCTTCTAGTAAGAAGAGGCCGTGGCCTGGGCCCCCTTTTACTGTGTGCGCGCGTGCGTTCGTGGGCCTCAAAGGGCGCGTGTTGCTGCCCCTGGTTTTGCCGTGTGTTGATCCATCAGAATGCAACTCGTCTGGCCGTAATTCAACACCCAAAACTGACGGCCCCGGGAGCTTGCCCGCAGAGGGCTTTGTTTTTTTGGTTATCCGTGAAGGCTGCCACCTCTTCATTGGGGACACGATAACGTAGCTTGGGTGCTCTGTATCTGTCAGAATCATCTTGGCGTATTGTGGGTTGTCAAAACTTCAAGAGCTCGTTTTACGAGAAGGGAGGCAGTTTAGAAAATGAGAGTGGCAAACGATGCGATAGGTGGTTTGTACACTACTGATGGTGCTAATGTACGGTGAGCCTTGTACTTGAGACACTGCACGGTGAGCCTTGCTGTCCCTTTCTTTTTCTGGGTGAAACGAGGAACCTAGTGCTCTCTTCTCGACGGTACAATAGCTGTACTACTTCGCTTTTTCATGTTTTGTGCGTTCCACCATGCGTGTAGTGTGTATAGACTTGACACGTAACACCACCTCATAATGTGACAATACGCGAGACCCGCCCGTGATCAGAAGACCAACAGACGGCTGTTCAAAGCCAGAAAGCAAACGCACCCGTGCGGCTAGGCCAGGAGAGGGGCATAGTAACTAACTGCTGCGGCGCGACGCCGACATCTTGTACAGAAGGCGCCACGACGGTACAGACGCATGTTGGCAAAAGAAACCACACACATGCATGGCAGTCTGACGTAGAAGCTGGCTGGGAATGAAAGTTTTCTCAAGGATATATACCCGCCCAACTAATGCTGCTCCCATGTCGGGAATGTGATACAAATGTCATACAAAGAAAGGCACAAAGAAGCACGGAAGATGCACACCTACAACCATAATGGTAATCGAATCAATCAAGAGACAAAATACTGCAAGTAAAACGAAAACACACCAAACAAGTTTACCTAGAGTAGGAGGGAGCACGAGAGGCCCAACCGTCCGTGCGTCCATCCGTCCATCCCCTTTCCTCACCCGGGCCACCTAGCGCCACACGCACACGCGCGGATACACTACTTAGAAATGCATGCACTCGCGCTGTGGCAAGGAGTTATCGATAACTCATTTTTGACGGCGGCAAAAATCTACCGCGAACTGCCGCCATGCCTACCGCAGACGAGATTTACATATATCCATCCCCAACAACGAGCCCCCCCGCCGCCACCCCAAACTACATCCTGTTCATAAATTTTCTCTCCCAGCCGTTCGCGCAAAACGTAGATTTTTTTCAGGTTACGTGCGTGTTTTCACGCAACAAAGTAGTACTAGAGACACCTTCTCCATTTGAGAATTTCGGTGGAAGCCCCGGCTCGCCTCCCCTTTTCCCGAAGTGCGTTTGGTATACCCGACCAATCCACTTCACATTAAATACTTACGACGCACAGGTGTGACGGCCGGCGAAATCTCGGGGCAGGGGTGTGACCTGGCATTGCTGCCGACTTCAAACGCCGTGTAAGTACTAGCCAACGGAGGAGGTCCAAGAACGCGGCGCTCGTCTAGGCCGAATCAATCCCCTCTCCCACGCGCTCTCGCCCCCCCCCATCCACTGGCGCCACCTCCGCCACCACGCTGCTGCTAATAGTACTCCTTGATTTTCGCTACAAGTACAAGCCCCGTCCCTCCGCTCCGAAACTTCCACGAACTTGGCTACCATAGGCTAAACTTGCCGCTCAGTCTCCCAATTCCGATAGTATTTCGTCCCATCTAAACAAGCATACGAACCGAAAGACACGGAGGAATGTTTGCCCCCCCCCCCTCCACCCCGCCGTCCGCGAGGTTTTTACCTCCACCCCGGGCATCCAGCAGCACACTTGGAGGAAGATATGCATACACAAAGAATATAAACGGCACAGCACTCGGTTTTCCCCATGCTTATCCCCGCCCCTTGCTGGTAGGCTTCCCTCCCGCAGCACTCGCCGTTCTGCTCTAGTAGAGAGGGCGACGATCTTGCTGAGGGGGCATCATTTCGTCGTCTTCCACTCGTAGGTCATCCCCGGCACGGGACGGTTCACCCGCAGCACGGGACGGTTCAACTCCGGAACGAGACGGCCCCATCCCGTCCCATCCCGTCAGTCATGTTCTGGGACGGTGGCAGCGCGCGCACCACATTCACACTTGTGCTTCGCGCGGGGGCCCGAGGAAGGGCAGACAGTACCGCCGTATATATATCATTCCCTCTTTTCCATCTCGCTCTCATGGACAGTCCAACCATCCCGCGCTCCGCACCAGGAGCTTGCTCTCCACACACACACACACCCTCCGTTCTCCATCGCTAAATTCCAGGTGCACCTCTTTTTACTCGTCCCCGGAAGGGGAAACAAACAAGGTCATCGCTTTTGGAGAGGGGGATAGATGGAGCTTAGGATTTGGTCAGGATGTCAGGAAGGCAAGCCCCAAATACACAACAAAACTGCACCAACAAGGCAAAAAATGAAGGAAGCAGCATCCCCCCCCGCCCCCCGCCCCCCGCACACACCCGTGTCCCCGCGCGCACGCATAGGCAGCAGGTTGCCTACACGTACGCAACACGTGCGCACCATTCAGAAACCGCGTCAACCCTCCGTTGTCCAGCCTTTCCCCCTCTCTGATGCCCACTCCCAATCAACTACAGTTACTCTTCTCAATCATCCGCTCGGTATGATGGTGAGCACCCACCAGTCTCCTCTAACCTTCTTCTTGGTTGCTGGGAGGCGATGCTGACTGGCATATTCTCTCCCGCTGTGTTGTGTCTGTTTGCCCTCTTGTCAGTTTAATGTGACATATCTAAGCTGATCTAGCGAGGCGCGTTTTTGTTACTCGTAATAGTACTACGACCTCGCACCCCCTCTTCCCACCGACCACCCGGGGTGCACATTGCCGCCAAGTCTCGGGGGTCCCATCATTACCTACGGATCCCCCCCCCCCCCCCCCACTCCGCTCCCGCTCATTCGTCAACCACGAGAGGTGGTGCCGTTCCGTCGTTGATACATAGTCCCCTCCCCCCGGCGTGCTCTCTCCCCTGCGCAGCTCGGGTAGATTCCACCACGACGAATGTCCCATCGTCTTTTTATTTTTTGTTCAGCCCGTGCGCAAGATGATGTGCACACCGCTGTCTGTGTCGACCACGCTTGAGATCTCGCCCACGCGCAGAGCCCGTGTTGCGTCTTCGAACGGCTGGCAAACACGCAAGAAGAGACGAAGAAAGAAACACGGAGCAAACCCAAAGAACGCATCGGCACAGACCTCAACAAAAAACAACCTCACGCGAAAGGGGAGACTCTTGTGTACGCTGTGTGATGGATCAAACCGCATGCGAGAGCGGCTTCCGCCTCGAACCAAACAACACGAACACGGCCGGCGCAAAACTGCTGCACGTGTGGAAACGCACATAAAAACAGTTAAGATCTGGAGAATCTGGAGACCTAGGAACAATGTGAATGTCCTCTATGTTGTTATGGCGTACTTCTGTACCGGGTCCGAATACGTTGCCAAGAAAGAAATATTCACCGCATGTTAGTTGTGACCTTCCAGATCATCGATCTCGGCAACGATGCGCCGGATGTTAGTTGTGACCATCGGTATGAATCTCGAATAAAGGAACGACACGATGGTGTCCACGAAGGCACACTCTAACCTTCACCCCTCCCTTGAACTATTATAGCACGTCGGTGTACCTCGGCTACGCTTGGCCATCTACCGTGTTTCTCGCCACCAACCAAAAAAAGTACCTCCGCTGATGAACGGTTTGATCACCGCTTCAGAGGCTCTGTAGAGAGAAAGCCGACACTCAACACTTTCGTACATTGTACAGCACTAGTGGGTAGTGGGCCCTCAACAACGCCGGTGTGTGCCCGGAGAACCAACCGGCGTTATTCAGAGGGACCGGCGCTATTCAAACCACAAAACAATTATGCCCTTTGGCGATGCAGGCTGCGTCCAGCAATTTCAACGGCGCCATCCAGGCCACCGGCGTTATTCAACAGCCGGCGTTGTTGAGGACCCGCTACTGCTGTCGTCAAACAACTTCACCCATGAACGTTGCGTCCGAACTATGTAACCAATGCGTCCAGCCAATAACATCGTCGCGCACAGAGTGCCGTCATGCATGCCCCCTTTCCCCCAACAGCCCCCGACCTGCATCATCTGGCCGTCGCCGAACTCCCCGAGGTCGCCTCCGGCTCGGGCGCTGCCACAGTCGGAGTGCTCCTGCGCTATCTCGGCGAAGTCTTCCTGGGTCGAGATCTTGGCCCTGAGGTCCATGAGCATGCTGATCGCCTCGGCCTGCAACGAGGAGTCGTGTGTTGTATGGATTCCGGGAAAGGGAAAAGGGAGATCAATCCCACATCCAAGCATGGTTGACCGCTGCTCTCTGTTGCTGTGCGGCAAGTCTGCAAAACATCTCGTCGTTTCGATACATGTGTTCAACATTGCTGTGCGGCAACAAGTCCGGAAAACAGGCCGTAGTTTGCATACACACCTGTCACGGGGGTGCACATGTAACATTTCGATGTGTTGTATTGTTCGCGCTTTGGCACATCTCTCGCCCTAGGCTGCGCATCTTTTCTACCGCTTCCTTCTAACCAAGGACAGGCAGGGTAATCGTCGGTACATCACCGCGCATGCCCGAGGACTGCCAGGTATCCGTGGCACGATAAATTGACGCCTTCAGTCGCCGCGAGTGGCTCTCTTTCGCGGGAAGGCTTTCCGAACCACAAAAACAACATAGATGGAAGTACGAAACGAGCACAGTCACTAAATATGACGCGCGCCTGCCAACTCGGCAAAACAAAAAAAAACCGGCAGGGACAAGACAGAGGGCGAACTTGCTCGTATCGACCAGTCTGAGGAGACATGGTAGATTCTATAGACCAAAGCAAGCCATCGAAGTAAGGCCCAAACCTTCAACACTCGCTCTCTCTGGTAAGGGTCGAACTGGAGGTCATCTTGACCTCGCTCGGTGGGGAGCGCCAGGAGGCCATACCGGTTGGTTGTTCGTGTGTTTTGGGTTTTGAGTCTTTCTAGTTGATAGATGAGTAAATTCTGTAGTCCATCGCGAAAAATAAACTTAATAACCGCCGTGTGACCCCACCCTCAACTTGTTGTTTACTCCTCTCCTTAGTGCTGGAGGAGTCGTACACCAACTCCACAGGGCGCACTTGGAATTCGAAACACGCCCTACTCTTAAAACTGTTCGCGGACTCGGGACGAAGGTTTGTTGTCCCGCTCTTATAACCAATGACTTCCCGTCATGATCATGATCGAGTCTGTCATGGCAACGAGAGAGCCAAACGGAAATACTTCTGGCAAAACCAATCTCAGATGCGGTAACCCCGGTGTTGCTGAGAAAATGGGACGTTCCTTAAAAAAACCGTCAACTGCAGTCGGTACAACACTGTTGACGTGCACCTCAACTCACCACCGTCGATGCTCGACCAATTTCCAACATAAATAGCACACTCGAAGTGCATGTGGACGTACGTACGTCCCGGTGGATCAGATTATAACACTCCCTGCGTGCCCTCTGATTCTCTCTTGTCTGGATTGCGGGGTCGAACACATTGGCGTGACAGATTAGCAATCTAAGACGTAGGTGAGCCCATAAGTGGCCCAAAAGAGTACCATGAGCAGGGGAGGAACGTTGTAACCGTTCTCGCGCTATCGTATTGAAGGGGAGCACCACTGCACGGGGGGGGGGAAAGGTTGAAAAACAATAACAATACAAGAAACCACTGGAAAAATAGTTGTATGACATCGGCTGGTGCATCACATGCACTCCAGAGGTTAGGTGAGGTGCACCACAGACCGGTGGTACCCAGAGAATAGGCGGGACGAAAACACAGCGAAATCTGTTCATGATGGCCCCAGCAAGTATTTTCAAGACTTGGCTCAAGAAATAATTTAGTGTCGTGCCTGTTTATTGGTTCATTCGTTCGGTCGTCGGTGCATTGTCCGCGGTTTGTTCTTTCTTCTGTTTGTGACGCGACAAGCCATTAACGCAGGGGCCTGTTCGTTCACGCCCGCCCAGGCTGCTGCCATCTTGTTCCACATACTCTCAAGATCAAATCGCTTTGACACGTGACCCTTCCGTTGAACAGGCCGAAACACTCCTCCCGCCGCGAAGAGGAGCAAAATCTCACTTCATTTGTTCAACGAGCGCATATATGAGAGAGGTGGACCACCCATGGCTATCAAGCAGAAGGCGATCCTGTCGTGTATGTGCAGAGACCAGGGGACCAGGGGGAGGGGACCGAGAGAGCGAAAAAAAAAAAACTCCTCGTCGAACCCCAGGCTGTTCACTGTTCACGCAAAAACACAGCTGCCGACTTTAAAGCGAGCGTGGGTAAGTTTACTATTATTAGTATCGACCGCGCTAACTGCTGTGCATTGTGTGTGTGTTTTTTTTATTATGGTGTCATCTCCACATCTCTCGTTGCATATCTGCGACGCTCTGCGACGTGTGCGTCAGCCGGTCAAACACAGGAGAGAGGCGGCCGCCGCCCCATGACCGAAAAATGATTATCCGGCGTTGTTCCTGCTTGCGTGTGTAGAATTCCGACCGGTTCCAACTCCGCAAAAAGTACTTGGAGGCGGATGTGGAGGAGTACAACCGCCGTCGCCGTTCGGGAGAGAGTTGTGAGACCGACGCTACTGCTGCTGTTGCTGATGCTGATGCGTGCATGACCGCAAGCACGGAGCAGGTTAGAATAGTCTGTGGTGTGGGGTACTCAACTAACGGGAAGATATTTTCTGAGGAAGCAAAATAACCCCCCAACGACAACAACATTCTCTTTGTTTTTTTCCTCGTAACACAAATCAAACTCGTTTGGAGAGAGAAGACATCTAGATCATCATCCACGAGAGAAAGACTACGCGTCCGAGACAATTCACGCCTTGATGCATACGCGTAAAGCTACTCCTGTAGTCATGGCAGGCCGTTGGGTTGCTGCCGTTTTGTGTTGCCGTAGGTTCGATGCGATGCGGTGGAAATGTTTCTCACTGACCGCGTTGGACGGAGTGTTGTTCGAACGTAAAGGAGCGACTGGGAAAAGTTGATCTTGTACAGAGAGGCAGAGGACAACATCGACAGCAAAGGCTTGAAAGAGGGAAGCTTCAGACCAGGCGCGCGTGCAAAGCCACCACCGTGCATCGTGGACAAGGTGTGGTCATTTGTCTTTTGGCTGTTGTGGTTGTCCAGGATTATCGTGTGGTTCGCCGGATTCTCTATTTTCAAGGGCCCAACAACCACCCTCTCAAAAAAACATGCGCCGGAAAAAAATGTTACCCATGGGTGGTACAGCAGTACATGATGGTACAAGGGTCGCGGACGAAATTTCAAGCGGAGTCAAGAGGGTGCACCAAGGCATTCCGTTGCTGTCGGCACCAGCACGAACGGGGGAATGTGAGTGTGGCGGCGTGTTACGTCGGATCCCAAAGACAGAGGGGGCGGTGCGGTGTATGAAGGTGCCGACAAACTGCTGTTTTTGCTGTGCATCATGCACAATCGCCTCATCCACACTGGATGGGAGACCAGTGATGAAGAAAAGAGGGAAAAAAAACGAAACTTTTCAGACAGGCTCCTCCTTCACCTTGGTCCGGGTCTTGATCGCAACGCCGTCGACGTCCTTCCAGCTAGCCGTCCGTCGGGAGCCCTGGTGCTTGACGAGGATGTGCGAAGCTCTCATGATCACGAGCTGGGCAACAAAAGGAACAAAGCAAAGAGGAACAGGGAGGGGGAAAGACAGCGCCTGCTGTAAGAAATTCTGCAATGCAGCGCGGTGTTGCCGTTTGGTTTGGAGAGCCATGCACCCACACGGCTGTGGCCTCTGCCGTTGCTACTGCCGCTCCGAGCGTTCACGAGGGGCTGCTTGCTTTAGTTCGCTTGTTCTTGTTTTCTTGCCTCTTCTGCTGCTAGCACCCAATGCTGCGAGCTCTCTCCCGGCTGCTGGTGCAATGTATGTAGATGAAATCGATGATCTGGCAAGGTGTGGGGAGATGGGTGGACGATCCTGTTTCCATTTTTTTCCGATCGGTTTCGCAGCGGCACAGCAGGTATCGGGATCTACAATGTTATACCATTGCGCGGTGCCCCCCAAACTTTGGTTGCCTTGTCCCACACCACCTCAACACAACGTAGCAACACCTCCTGTTTTCGTGCCGTATACGCGCGTCGTAACTTGGTGCGGCAAGTGTCGCTGATACTAGCAGGTACAGAAGGAGAAGGAGAAAAAAGTGTGCTTGTACTCGTAGAGTACAATAGTGCACTGAAAAATGATCCTCCGCCAGAGGCGAGATCGTGCGACTGAAACCAAACCTCCAGCTCCTCACCCTGTGCACGGACAAGACCCGGGCGTGCTTCCTTCGGGTGAGTCAAACACAATGTCTCCCATTCTTGCTCCTCGTTTACATATCGCTCAAACTCTGCGGGTTAAGCAGGCCAAGTGGTTAGTGCGAAATTTGAAATATGTGAGCGTGTGTACATGTAATTTTTAGACTAAACTTTCCGGGTTCCTCAAACTTCTACTCCTTTCGAAGCACAACCCAATCAACGTTCCCTTTAGTACAGGGCCAGGTCATGGGTTCGAGTCCCGGCAGAGTGAGTTTTTTTCTCACTATATAAATCCTGGTCAAGGATGAAAGCGACGCGCTGCAAAGCTCGTCGTTAGTAAACCATAATCGACTTCGTAAGTCGCGAGGGAAGGGATTGCTGTACCCTTGTCGCGATCAAAATACCTCAGGCAGGAACCGCAGGAGGGGGTCCAGCCCCCCCCTCCTATGTGACCCCGGTTGGGTCGTCTAGCTAGTAGAAGTGGAGGATAGGGGCCATAGGGGCAGACGACAGAGTTCAATGATGGGAGAAAAAAAAAAAAGCACCAGTATGCTTCGTACAGTATCGAAACCCGTACTAATGTCCCAGTATAAGTATAGCTCAATATTGAAAGCTGAACTAAACGTACTATGGCGCTTAGTACAGTACCGAGAGCCGTGCTAAACCCCCAGTACAGTACAGTACGGCCCTATTCTGGAAAGTACCTTCAGTACGTACTGGTACTAACGGGAACCTTGCAACCCATGGTCTCACCGGCACGCTGGTACTCGTCAGTTATGTGCTCGTCCGACCTATTCTGTCGCGAGTCTACGCACCTTACGGTGTATGTGTTTGACGCATCAGCTGGGGTCACGCAGAAGTTGTGTTTTGCCACCTCCTGCGGTGCTCGTTTTGGTTTGGTTTTTTTCGCTTTTTTGGCGTGAGAAAGAGGAATTGGTCAGTGTAATATTTTAATGGTCCATCGAGTGGAAGTTTGAATACTCACTCCATGTGGAAACCTGGATATAGGTATCTTCCTAACGGTACT